AGATCAAAGAGAACACTTTTGCCCCACGAGAAGCTGCTTTATGCTACATAAACCATAACAAGAAAATCTGAGACTGAATGCATTTTATAAAAGTTCTCTTTCTCTCAGTTCCAGGGTGCTGGTGACTTTAACAAAAATAGTCTCTGTTACTCTACTTTGCTTCTTCCTGTCAGCAACTAGTTTCAATGCTCTAAGGTTTACTAAGAAGTAGTTGAGCAAAAGTTTCAGTATTCTGTGTTATATCAGTGTCCAAGAACATCACGATTCTTAGGGAGAATATAATCAGGACAAATATCTCAGTAGTTTTATTCTGCTTGCAAAAACCAGAAGGATGAGTGAATGTATTGGATTACTTTGCTATCGTAACTAGAAAAATACCATTATATTAGCTGTCAAATTGCACAGTATTTTTTTTTTCTTATTGTAAATAAGTAGGGGGGGAAACGTTGTGAAAATATAAATCTATGTCTGTGCACTCCTCTTGCTATTAATGTGGATGGAAAGTTATGGTACACTGAATGATCACAATACCTTGATACGTGCAAAAGAGCATAAACCCATAAAATTAATATATAATGGAATGAAGAAAACTTATTTTTTTCAAAAATTCAGAGATGGACTCAGCTATGGCTCACATAGTTCTCCAGGCTGACGTCAACCGGAGTTCGTAAGCCCATGAAAAACTGTAAAACACTACGCTACACAAATGTGACAGAGCAAGTTTAGAAGACAGGCAATGCAACATCTGTGCAATCATATTTGACCCACAACAAAAATAATTAGTCTAAATGTAGTCAAGAGCTGACCATACAAGCATTTCAACAATCTCTTACTTTCCCTGAAGTCTACTGAATAATCCGTTCTGAGCCATCACTATGACAGCTTTGCCATGGTTTGAGACTACAATGGGGGGAAAAGGAGGGGAGAAAGAAAACTCCCTTCAGAGGAAATACTATTCTGTGAAAAGGCAAAGAATTACATCTTTTGGCTTACCCTTAAGTTCTTCTGTAAAGTCCAAGTAATGTACCATGTTGCTGAAAAAGCAGGATTTTTCTAAATGAAACTCATCATCCAGATTTCCTATTCACACTTTCAGTCAATCATTAGTATCCCTCCCTATTGCAATATTGAAAAAGATACCGCAGTCAGAGTTTTGGTTTTGAACTTTCATCCTCCTCAATGCATGAAAATACCACACAGAAAACAACTACAGAAGGGGAAAACATGAGGCAGTTCAAAAGCAAAATTTTGACTGTGGAATACCCCACAGATAAGATAAAAATTTCACATTGTATTTATATAATCCTCACTTTAAATGGGTACAAAACAAAGAGTAACTTGCTGAGTATTTGAAAACCATTTTCAACATGCTCAGGATCAAAGCAGCAGTAAAAATACATGCACCTTGTGAACACAGCAAGCCATGGTCGAAGAGAAGATAAAAAGTCTTAACAGAAAAAGGATACTAGAAACTCTTTTCTGAGAGCTTTGCTTCCGTCCCAGTCTGGCCGTCTCTATATCACAGGGGGATGGCATGTCTCCAAAACCATTTCTAGACAACAGCAACATAGATACAAAGTAAGCAAGTGAATCCAAACAGAACACAGAAAAAGATTTTTTTATTGCTTCAAATAACTCCACTACTGGGAAACTTAAAGTCACTTCTAATTCGAGCACTGATGCCCTGTTTCCTCTACAGAGCATCTAGTATTGCTCATTAGCTCAGTGAAACGAGTTTGTCTGAAAACCCATACTTTGGCCCTTCTACACCACAACAGACATTTTCTTATTAAAAAAGTCTAGTAGGACATGCAATAGCACGAAATTAAATTTTGAACTGAAAAATTAAACTGAAAGAATAACATGATTTCACTATTTTTTTTTGTTTTCCTTCAGATACACAAAATCACCACAGATTGAGAAAGTCCACGCACCTTCCAAAAGGGGAAAAAAGGTCGTTCACAATTATTAAAGTGCAAAGAAGCTGGGGCTGAGCTGCGAAGGCCGCAGTCGTGGCTGCCGAAGCAGGCCTGTCTGTAGCACACCCCCGCACAGGCCCGGCTCCTTGATTCCCGCCTAATTAACAACTCCCATTCAATCTCTAAATCCAACGCAGAAGCGAGAGAACAGATTTAAAACTCTGGGGCGACAGAAAGGCCTCCGATACCCCCTCAGAAGCCGTTCCAGCCTCAGCGCGTTTGCCAACCCGCACCGCTCCTCGCTCCCCCCGCGGCCGCTCCACGGGGCTGGGGCTACGCCACGTCCCACCCGCGGGAGGCCCGCACTCCCCCCGGGACACGGGACACACACCCCCCCTCACACACACCCGCCTCACCCACCTCTCCATGGCGGCCCGGCACAGCCCGGGCTCCAGCGTTCCCGCCTCCGCCAGCGCCGGCCCGGAAGGAGCGGGGCCGGCGTCCGGCCGCACTGCGCCTGCGCCGGGAGCCGGGCAACGGAGGGGGCAGCCGAAGCGGCAGGGCCGGCGCAGGGCGGGCCGCGGTGGTGAGGCGGGCAAGGGCCTGGTCCGCCCAGGCGGCAGCTGGCGCCGGCCCGAGGCTGCTCTCCCCTCGTCAGTCCCCGGCCTCCCCGCCCCCACGAAGCGAGAAAGCGTAAATAAACCCCCTAGCTTGAAAGTTTCGGGCGCCGTTTAGGTTCTCTCATTGCACAGGGAAAGACGAAGCGCATGTACAAAGCACCCGGCTGGAGCAACCCGCCCCCCAGCCTTTGCAAAGATCAGTTGGTTTTCACCAATTCACAAACTTACGTCCGTTTCTCTTCCTCTCCCGTCTCTCCCCGTGTTACTCGGGCTACTGGCACCAACTTTCAGAGGTAAAGTAGTAACCACCAGGCAGGATCACCTCAATCCCTATCTCCCTGGACAAGCTATCAAAGTTACAAAACTACCCTTCCTCCCCAAAATGGATTTCGCACACCTTTACAGAAAAAGAGTTACCACTCTTACCAGTACAAATGACTGTGCTACTGACAGTAGTTCATTTTCTTGTGCTGTAGTACAGGGAACTGTCCAAACAGCGTTTTTACTGTAGTCAGGCAAGTTCTGAAAAACACAAGTACTCGGGTGTATTCGGGGCTACAGCTACGAGGGGGTACTTCAAGCAAAGCAGGCATTTAAGTTCCTTGTACAGAGGGATAGATCTGAAAACAGCTGCAAAAGGCAGCAGAACTGCAAGACATCATCTGAAGAGCCAGAGCTGGTGCTGTGCTGATAAAACGCTGCGACATCCGAGCTTCATGTCTCATCAAAGCTGCTGGAGAGTCTAGATTCAGAAGGCTCCATAGGAAGAGGAAAGTGGAGAAGACTGATGGCGATTGGGTATGCAAGAACATAAGCAAGCAGAAGGATCTTAGAGAGTAGATTAGTCACTCAGGAAATGTAGTTTTGGATTTAAGAAGGAAAAATTGCCCTTTATCATGTAGACTATCATGAAAGCACAAGTGAAGGCAAAAACCTTCATTACGGAGGAAACTGAAAAGAATGTTAAAGGAACTATTATATCTTAATTCAGTACTACATATTTAATAGAATTTACCTCAACACATCCTCACAAAACAGCATACCATTATTGACTGAGTAGTGCGGTGAAAAACTCAGAGTAATGCACAAATTAGTATCTGGTTCAATTCTTTGCCAACAGCTTGCACTCTCAGGCTAGCCCCTTTTCAGGGTAGAAAAGCATAAACAAGTGAGAGATGTAATGACAGAGAAAATGCTTCCTTTGCATGCTGCCTCAAGTTTATTAAAAGCAATGACAGATGAGAACAAAGCAAAAGAAATAAGGCTGAAGAGAAATTATGAGGGCACCATGCATGCTTAAGAAAAAAAAAAAAAAAAAACCAAACAAACCCAAAACCCACAAACCAACCTAAAAAAGAATATAAGAGATTTGGGGCCCTTGAGAGAACTTATTGTCGTACATACAGCCTCTTTAGGTGCAGGCTGGGGAAGCACCTAGAGGTGCAACTCGAAGTTGGCTCCAGTAAAGGGGCAAGGGTGGGGAACAGGGCAAAAAACCTGGAGGTGTTTTCAGTCAGTATTTTTTGCCTAGCATCCCACTTCATATTTGTCTAATGAGAGGGGAAAAAAGAGAAAAAAGGAATGGAGTCTTCCAAGAGGCAGAAGGGAATGCAAATTTTTCAGTCAGGGATATAAAGGACGCCTAATTTAAATTTCTTATTAAAAATTATGAATCCATCTTAAGTTTCAAATATTTGCATCAACACTGATCCTAACTGCAGCCATGTTGTCAGAGTATCGCCAGGGTAGTTAGGAATGCACCACACTTAGAGGCAGGACAAGCACGGACAACTCAGCAACTAGTACGACTGGCACAGGAACAGGGTATGCTTATTGTCAACACCTCCGCTCTCTACTAGCTTTATGTGAAGTTAACGGGGTTTACAGGACGTACTAGGTTAAAATTCAGGATATACTAGACTAAAATTAAATAAGTAAACTAACTCAAAACTCTAATTACCCTTTACAAAATGTGTTTTAATACAGACAGCTCACAAATCAAATAAATTGCCCTAAGGCATTGCTAAACTGCATACATGACATCTGCATATACAAAACTGCAGTCTTAATTTAGAACTATCAAAAGCAAGAGCACAGCAAAGTTCTTGTGCAATATGAGATAGCAGCAAAACTGCACAGTACAAAGAAAACTGTGGAACCTACACTATACCTTGCCTTTTTGTAAGAGAAGGAAGCCTTTTGAAGAGAAGGGCTCATGTTTTAGCCCTTCTTTTCTCAGTTGAAACACATTCCTGGGAGTATGTAACTTTTAATCTTTAAAGGAAACTTAAAAAAAAAAAAAATCTCAAAAAAATTAACTGCTTAGTATTAGAATACTCAGGTTGTCTCTCAAATTGTTTGATGGGGGCCTTACCCTAAACAAATTGATTCCCATGCCTACTCCCGTTGAGGAACCTCAGCTAAAACCCCTTTTTTATTAAAAAGGAAAAAGAAAGAGACGTTTTTGTAACTGTCATTTTATTTGTGTCTGAAAAACATGACAGTAGTACCAAGGGTCTTTGTTGTATTGGGCATGTTACAAACAGTAAACCCAGTTTATGAGAGCTGGGATTTCACATGTAGATTTTTGTACCTAGTATGGGAGTGAAGTTACTGACTCCTCCCTGCTAGATTTAGAAGTATAAGGTAAAAATGCCACATAGTATGAAAAGGTAAAGTATACTGATGAAAGGAGGAACTAACTTCTACTATAATTTTACTCAGTATCCCAGATTGCAGAAATGCCCCTTCCCTCCCAAGTTTATGGTAGCCAAAAGACGTTACATGAATTAATCAGAAATTACAATGCCTTGAAAATGTAGTTCACCCTAGCCACAACCTCAAAGAGAAAAAAAAAAAAAAGTAATCCTGGTGGCAGTGAACTTTCTTAAAACCGTGAAGCTGTAGAGCTTGTTGTTCGGCAGAACTAGTATCTCTTGAGGCTGAAGTGAGTACAGTGGAGTCATGAAGACATTCCTTTCTCCATTCACAAATCCTTCCCTAAAGAACATCTCATTGAAAACAGGAAGCCACCCTCTGCTTGATGATTCAAAATTCTGAAAATAAATGGTTTTGGAGGGTATTAAAAAAAAACAAAAACAAACCAACCCCTCAAAAACCCCAAACAGAAAAAAGTGGCAAAATCCATGTTTATCTGTTGTTTGAAGCCCAGATATTGCAACATTGAGAACAAAACCAAGACTACAAAACAACTTTGCTTATAGTTCCAGACTAAGAACATAGAGTTTGCAACAAATATTTCAGTTTACTTTATCGAACTGAGAAGTTAAATCAGGTTTTAAGAATCAAAGTTGTTCATAAACCTTTCAAAGCATAAGGTGCTTGAGACTCAGAAATGAGAACCAAATTTGATTAAGAGCTCTTCTTCTCTAATACTACCTTAGAGAACTATGTACAACTGTATTTTGTTACATATTTGAGCAACTTTTTTTCTTTTATTGTCCTTCCCATACACAGTCAAAACAAAAGCTATAAATTGAAGTACAGCCTGATGTTGCTGGAACGGCAGTTAAAATTGGACAAAAAGCTTTCCGTCTATGCTGATGCTTGGTTGCATCTTCATATTACAATATAAAAAGTGCTACAGACAGCTGTATAGAGACTACTATTTTTGACCGTTCACATCTAGAAATAAACTTTCTATTGTTGATACGTCTAAACTGAAGTCTATCTAGAACTAGTGCAGTATTGTGGCAAAATTTCTCCCCAAGTTATTTCCAAAACTGACAAAGATTGGAAAACCTTGGAGAAAACACATCAAGTTTGATTCATCCATAGTTTGTTTAGAGCATTTTAAAAGAAGAAAAACTTCATCTTTAGTGTTCACTCATGAGAAAACTGCAACTCTATTTACACCAGAAAAGGAGAAAAAACACAACTTAATCCAAATTCCAAGCTCCTCCCACCTCCTCTTTCTAGCATTGCGATATCAGTATGCATTATGAAAGAAACTTAGTTAGTATCTAGCTCTAGAATACTTTTTCCTAAGTTAAATTCTCTTATGCAGAAGAGCACTAGTAGTTTGAGCTTACAGTTAGTTCATTTGGACATCTGAAAACATCTTGCAATGTCTTAAAATACTCTTGTAAATTCAGCAAGTAGACATTCATTTCACAGAGTAAGTTGAGAATGAAAGAGGGCATTAGGAACAAGGTAAGGTATAAGAAAAGTTTATACTGCAAGGGGAGTCCTAATATGAAGAGTGCAATACCATTAAATAATACTTCTATATTTCCAGACACAAACATTACTTTTTCCACAGAAAGCTCAGACATTTAAATACTGACACATACCAATTCCAGATTAGGGTAGAAATAAAGCAGTCACAACCTTTGTGTGCACTGTAAGCATAAGCTAACTTTACAAGCAGTAATACATGTGTATTAACACTGAATTTGGAAAATTACCGCATTAGTTTTCAAAATATGAATTATGCATGTTTTCATCCAAAGCTTTTTGAGAAGTGTTCTGTTTCTGTACAAACAGTTCAAGCATGAACTTCTTAAGCATTGGTACACAAAGCAGTTATCCTGAAGATATATAAAAGTTTGTTCAAAAATTTCAGCAGACAGAATTCTTTTCTAGAATTGGTAACTGCTTACATAGTTCCAATTCCTGTGGGGAACTGGATGTTCACTTCCTCAGCAGGAACAGCTTCTTATGCCACAATTACTTAGATGTGAAGAAAATTCTTCCATGTGTTTTTCCTTACGCTTCATGTCCTTCACTTCCTCAGCAACATTTTGCCATGCATCTTCCCTTTAACAACCAGGACACTGCTCCCTTGAAGCTTACGTTCTCAAGGAGAATATACTGGGGTTTAGGTATTACCTGGGTTATGATACATTGGCTTTACTAATCTGGCCTAAATTCTAAATATAGGGGAGTGGAAGGGAGTTTATTTCACTTTTTTAGCACAATCTTTAGATGGTAAAGCCTAGAGTTTCTGAAAAATTTTACTTCCCTGGGGTTTGATCCACCTGACGACCTGTAATGTGGAGGAACTGTACATTCACTCTTCCACAGCACAACCAAGAATGGTTCAGTACAGAGCTTTCAGGACAAAGCCTGATATTCCCTGTAATCGGTCCTCTTTGGCTGGACACTGAGACCAGACCAGGGCTCCCTTGCTGATGTTAGACTTTTCTCTCCCTCCCACCCAATGCTATCTGTACAGTTGCCTGGGGAAGAAACATATTAAAAAGACTAATAAAAAGACAACTGGGACATAAAAGTGTTGCAAGACCTGAATAAGCAGAGGTTGAATAAAAGGAGGAAAAATACTGATTAGCTCATCAAGGAGGAAAGTACCTAGTGAAAAAAAAGAACTAGAGCATCCAGTGCTCTAGTCTCATCTACTCTGGGGACCAGTCAGGATGCAGAGTACCAAAAGAGGTATTTATGGGGATCAACCACATGTCTGGTTTCTAATGATAATTTAAAAAGAATTTCAGTCTTAACTCTGACTCTTCACAGTGAAAGAGTGTATTAAATCTCCATTAAACAACGGTGATGACTGATGAAATTACCAGCAGCAAGGATCAGCTGGTCTCCTTAATTCACTTTGGGCAATGTAAACTATCTCAAAGCTTACCAGTATTAGCTAACCTAATCTGATTGAATTTGCAGGAATGGATTAGAACAAGCTCTGATAATTCTGTGCCAGAGAAACAGGAGGTACCAAGTATTTGGGTGTGACATTAATTTTCAGCAGCACATCCAAGATCAGGAAATCATCCACAGTCCACACATTCCACTTCACAGTCCAACAGTGTTAAAAGATATTTAAAGTCTGCAAAACTCTACACTCAATACTGCAACAAGAATGCTCTTCTGCAGATTTCCTTGAAACCAAACAAATATGGTTTGACCATGCAGAAAAATCATATTTTCTCACAAGAGATTTTTTTTTTAGCTACACTAAGTCAATTTTAACAATGAATTCTTCCTGAAAATAAGGAAAATAGCAGTCAACATATTTTCAAGTTCCCAAAATAGCCACTGATAATCTAACCTTTTGAAGACAGATATTTTTCTGTTAGACTCTCCCTTATGTTAGAACTTAGAATATTCCAAATCTAAAACTGTAAGTGGAATTCCTTTCAGTTAGAAATTCATCCACCCTAACACATGGGATGCTATTAGAAGAAATATCTATGGCATGTATTTGTCAAAAGACAAAATCATAATGGTTCCTTTTAGTCCTAAGATGTACGAATTTGCACTGTGCAAGAGATCTGAAATCAGTATTTACTAGCACTACTAAAACACAAAACATTGAAGTAGTATATAACTGTAATGCAAGCCCTTGCATGGCAATCCAAATTTATTGAACTACTGATGCTAAGTCATACAAAATTGCACCACTTTAATTAAGGCTTTTAGTTTACATTTGGCCACCTCAAAGCAGTTGTAACATTAGGTTGGTCAATTTAAATACTGTGGCTCCCTGTTGGATATACACACAATCTTTACACCCAAACGTTAATGCATACAAAGCAACAAGGCATTGTTAAATAAATCAGCAAAAGTTAATTACTGCAACTTAGGCCCTGTGACCAATTACACATGATTAAAATTACTTCCCACATTCACATCCACAGTACTCTTCCACCATTTAACATCTCAACCAAAACGTTACACATGTAAAACAATCACTAACAGGCAAAAGTACTAAACCTGTATATTTGGTATTGCAAATACACTTATGCATGAGCAAGCAAGGGAATTCACAGTGAGAATCTACAGCTGCAGAAGCCCAAAAATGATTTACAAAAAATTGTTAAATCATTAAAAAATCGTTTTAAAATATACACTTCTTGTTGTAGACCCCCACTGTACACACAACTATAAACATTGTTCCCTATGTAAACAAGGAAAAGGAAACATACAATAAAAGGTTGAAAAGTCTGGACATTTCCTTCCCAACAGATATTAAAGGCCATGTCTTTAGTCAGACGTTATACTGAAAGGACTCTTAAAGACTAGATCACTGTCTCCACAGGTTTTTCCTAAAATTAAAAAACTATATAGCTGTTGTGTTAATCAAAGCGCTTTTGTACAATACGATGATGATGATCCTGTATTTCTTTAAAAAAGTTACAATAAGCTACAAATACCGATGAAGCAAAGTTATCTGGAGTAGTCTATATAGGAGCTCTTTGGACTTTCTTTTATTATGCTAAAATAGTGGTGCTTTTAGGATTTACATTATTGTACTCTCCAATAGAAAGTGGGGATTGTTGAAGTATACAGTACACAGTTTTCATACATGTACAACATTGGTGGATGAACAATGTCTCTTATCGGTAATACTGGATGTAGGCTCTGGTTTTACCAGTTGCATACACTTAGAATATTTATAAGTAAAAATCTCTCATGACACTGGAAAGTGATTAGAATGTGCAAACTGATGTAGTAGCTTTCATCCATTTCTTAAAGGGTACCACCACAGGAAAGTCCATTTAAGATGTTGGTAGGTTTAATAAAGTTGGAATGCTGGCACTGTTGAATTGGGCAACAGTTCTTCAGACCTGTAACAACAAAACAAGAGGTTAGTATTAGTAACAACTATCTGTCATCATTCTTTAGTTAAAAGAACTAAAGCAGGATCTAGCAAAGTTCTTGGCAAACAGACTTAGAAAATAACCTTATCACTTCTCCTCTACTACCGTCATTTATACAGCACACATACAAATAACAGACTATCCCAATCAGCAAAACTGAATTGGGACACATATGGCAACCCAAGCTGAACTGTGGCAGTAGTAGTTGATGGGTGGGACTAGTTTTGCTTACAGTATGACAGTTCCAGCGGCTTTATAAAGAAAAATACATTTGGAGGATCAAAGCTCCCGAATCAAAAGCCTTGTTAAAGAAGTGGAGCAGCCGTTTCTGCCACCCTCAGCTAATGCTTTTGGAACCCTCTCAGTTTTACTTTGAACTAATTCAAGTTGTTCAAATTAAGTTTTAATATTGATACCAAAAAAAAGAGTTAAACATGGCACTACCTGAATATTAAAAAAATCCTGCAATTTAGGACAGTGAAATATCCTACCAGGATCCTCCAGTATATCAAATGGGTCTACTGGATGACAAAATAATGGATCATAGCACTGAAGCAACCGAACCACTGTATGCCCAGTAAAACTGAAGGGCATCGAGATGAACAGGCAACTTGCATGCTGTCATGTCAAGAGATACCTCTGCCCATACTAAGGCTTCGAGGTGGAAAGAGGGAAACAACCTGCCCAAGAACAAGTTGCAAAAAGGAAATTCACACCTGCTGACTAACTTCTGAAAAGATTTGCTTAAAGAACAGGCTGGAGCTTGCTTGAGCCTTCAGCACCACTCTTAAAGCATGGATTTAGTCATGTAGAACATTAGCCAACTGCCAACAAGAAGGAAATTGATCTAGTAACCAATAGCTCCAGCTCAAATATTTGGTGTGTTACAATGATCACTTCACTGTTCTCTTCCAAAGGTACTAATTACAATGCAGGCTATAAAATATCCATGTAGTCCAACGAAGCAAGCTAAATTCCGACATCATGCAAATATATGCAGGAGTGCAAAGCAGGAAGTGACACTGTAGTACGCAAACAGCAATATTTTCCAGTGTGCATTCCTGATAATTGAGCTCTTGCAGTACCTTCTATCAGCCTTTAAAAAGGAAAACCCTGTTTCAAAAGCTAAAGTTTCCAAGTATCAAAGGAACGTTGTTAAATTGAGTTCTACCAACACCTTAAAGCTTGAAAAAAAATTTATACTAGTGTGAACAGTGTATCTTGCACTTATTTGTAGTTCTGACACTGGAATGGCAAAATAAAGACCATAAAAATTCCTATGATAATGCAAGTCAAGAATTTCTAATGCTGTTCTGCATCAGCAGCTACCACAGTTGTTTAGGTTTTTTGGTGGTTGTTGTTTTGTTTGTTTTTAATAGCTGTAATACACAGAAAATTTTAAAATGTTTACCTGGCTCAGAGCTACAGTACAGCTATGTATTAAAGTAGCTGACATGATGACTTTTTGCGTGCTTTTCCAGGCACTGGAGTTTTTCTGTTAATTTGTCGCACAAGGTCATAAAAGATCTGGGAATATAAAAATCAGTTGGTTATTGGAATTAAAAGGCTTCTTTCACAGCCCTAAGCTCGAATCTGCACACATAATGTACTCACATACTCAAGAACCCCTGTAAATACTTAGTTATCACAAAGCCAGAAAGTTGAATTGTATACTTAATTAATAACTGGTGGGGCTTTTTTTCTGTTTAAAATAATTGTCTGCCAAGGGCTTTCGACTTCCAATGAAGTGAACTGGAAAGGAATCTATAATCTGCAGCTATTTAACCTCTGAGTCAAATTTATCTGAACATGTATGATATATGCCACAGTGATCAACTACTATATGCTATTACTTTGTCATTCAGCACTGAGGTCAAGAAACGTGCTACAGCTTTCTTCTAACGCAAATCACTCTAAGGATATTTTTTCAAAGAAAGTTCTAGCAAGTTTTAACTACACATTTTCATGGTAACTCAAGTACACTGCATATTCAGGAATAGTCTCTTGTATTTGAATGAGATCATGCTTTTCCAGATACTTTAAAAATACTAAAGTCTAGAGAATTAATTCAGCAGCCTCTCTACGACTACAGCATGACATAAGCTTAACATTTCCTAGGAAAGTAACTCATGTATGAGACTCACACTTTGAGTCTCCCAGAATTCTAATTAGAACATGATTTTGTTGAAAGGCTAATTTAAGACAAGTCTACATACTACAATTAAACAGCATCTGTTTTGTTCATAATTGACATTGTTCCAATTATTTCTGCATCTCCTAAATCAAGGAAGTCCTCATACCAAAGCCATCCTAGTAGTTTCCTAAGCACGGGCTGCAAAGCAGCAAACATTCCAACAAGGGCTTTTAGTATTCGATGGAAGTAAGTTCTACTTTATTAAACATATGACTTTTATATAGTTAAGCTGATTAATTTGTGTTTAAAAAAATCTGAATAGTTTCCAGTAATTCTCAACTAATTAAACACACATTACTTATTTTAAAAATCAGCTGTGCTTAAAAGCACCATACACTTTTGATTACATGCAAGTGTTGCACAGAGGCCCTTTCAACTTGACTGATGCGGCCAACAATGTTTTCCAGAAGACACAATGAACTGTAGGGTTTATCATAAAATTCAAGCTGTTCCAGAAGTGTAAATACTAACACAGCCTCTTTTTCTAAAAATTTCTGCATCCCTTTCTTTATGCTGGCACCCCCACTGGATAAGAAGGCATGCACTATGCCAAGTCCCAAAAATGTATGCGTTTGACCAGTCACCTAGCTCCTGCTAAATAAGCAGCTAGATAGTAGAGAGGCTTTTGCACCCCCTGTTCTTTACAGAGCTGCTAATTTTGACAAAACCCTTAGGAGTTTTTGTTATTACCATCTCAAATAATTTAATACCAAGTAACTTAAATCAACTGGCTTTAATGACTTAGCTCTTTTAAAGGTCTTTAGAAAAAGAAAGTAGTCTAGCAGTTCAATGTCGGTTGATAGATATTGTATCAAGTAGGGAATGTTACATGAAAAAAATAATTCATATGAATGTAATTTGAAATTTCATGTGAAATTAAATATTCATATTAATATAATTTGAAAACTAATTATACTAAAATTAATATAATTTGAAAAAGTCCCAAGTCAAAGCTAAATACATCCCTTAATATAAGCATCTCATGGATTCTCACAGTAGTAGGGTATGGTTTTGTCCATTACAGTGAATGTTATTCATAATTTTGTTAGTTTTTCCTTGACAAACGGTAAATGTTTGGTTACTGGAACAGTGTTCCATGTTTTTCTCCCTTCCAGCCCTCCCCCCATAGGTAATGTACCTTACCTCGTTAACATTTATCTTTGATTTTGCAGAAGACTCTAAGAACGCACAGTTATTCCATTGCCTTGCTAGGTTCTGGCCTTGTTCCTTTCCCACAACTCTTTCATCTTCCAAGTCGCACTTATTGCCAACCAGAATCATAGGCACCTAAAACACAATTCAATACCAGCAAAGAAATAATTAAAATTTTGGGAAGGCACAATGTAAATGCACACCTAAAACCCTATCTGAATCCTTAGAGGATCCTGACTCCCAGAATAATCAAGCTCTGGTATAACTGAAACTTAAGTTTACAGCTGTGCAATACTTTCATCTTCAAATCAAAGTGACTGCATTTTTTGCCTACTGTTTGGCAGGGAGGTGGTGGGGAATGGTTTGAGGATTCAGTACACTGCCAGTTGAACAAATTTTACATCTTCTAGATGACCTAATGAGATTTCATTTTTAGATGTTTAAGGCACCAAGAAGTCTACTTAAGAATCTGACAAAAGATTCTTACATGTTCAGAAATCCTGGAAAAAGTAGCCTGTACTGGGTAGCATGACAACAGACAGTAAAGCTCCTTTCACCGTTCCTATACTTCCAGAATATCTGTATTCCTTTCAAGAGCAGTTTGTTCACACAGTCCTCCTTAGTAAACTGATGCTCACAGAGGAAAGAAACATCCTACCTTATCAAAATTACCAACTACAGAAAACACTAAATTGACCTTTGTCGCAAGAAAAGACAATCATATTAAGTTGTTTGCTGTGTTTTTTTTTTTTTGTTTTTTTTCCTTCCTTTTACTAATTTAAGGACTTACCTAAGTTTCTCCCACATTCAAGTGCTGAAAAAACATTTACAATATTTTGACCATTTAGTTTCCCCACACTGAGAAAGCAAGCCATGCATAAGCTTTGGCATAGGGAAAACTTTATGTAAATTTTGGCAAGAACTGAAGTTGCAACTTGAAGCTCATTATCTTTCTCCTGGTATTATAGAATGTCTTTCAAGACTGAGGGGAGTGTTCTAAGAAATACAATTCCATGGAAATACTACCAAATCACTTCTAGAAGAAATCTGCTGAACATAGGCAAGACCTGCAAATGCCTACTGTTAAGAAAACGTAAGGTGGTTTGTATTACAAAAGTCACAATGAACTTCCCTAAAATTGAAACGTTTAATACATTCTGTGTCTGCTGACAGCAGAAGCATATGTGGATACATGCAGTAGGGAAGGCATCAAAAGTTTCCATGAGCACAGTTTAAATGACATAAGCAGACTTAAAAGCTGTTCATTGGTTCCTTCTTGAAAAAAAAAAAAAAAAAAAAGAAGTAGGAAGCTTTTCCTGCCTGATGGCTACAACCTATAAGGTCCTTCTGTTAAAAACACATTCTCACTGCTGTTTCACATTTGAAATACCTTTCCTCCTTTTATTAAGGGACTGAGTAGTCACTTCCTACAACTGTAGTAAGTTTTTATTAATTATAAACTGGAATGTTTTAGCCTCACTTTATAGCTTTAATAATGCTGAGGTGCACACTGAAATTGTGTGGAAATAGTATGACCAAATTTGCTTGCGAGCACACACAAAATATAAAAGATACATAACACGCAAGTTACGTAAATCTTAGAGTACTGTCTTTCATAAGACCTTTGAATTTTGTGCCTTTAAAACACTATAATCAGTAGGCATATTAAAGAGAAAAATTAAACTGCATGGTTTTTTAAACCTTCACTAATAGTAATTGAAGTAAGAATAGAATTGATTTAGAAATGTTTTCTGCAGTACTAGTGAATAAGGTTATATACAGTTTCAAATAGAGTATTTCAAAGGAAGAGATTAAAAAGACAATTCTCTTTATACCACATGACAAGTTACAATTTCTCCAGTTTACCTTGAGTTGCATTTCTGTACTATGCACATACTGCTTGATTTGTTTCTCAATTTAAAGTTTAGAAGCTATCTGATCACAGTATATACATTACAACATCTGTAATGAAAACTCTAAATATCAGTATTAAGCATTTTTAGAGATGCTTACATCATCAGTGTCTTTGACTCGAAGAATCTGTTCTCTTAGATCCTGTAAATCATTAAATGTGGACTGTGCTGTGATGGAATATACTAATGCAAAACCTTGTCCATTTTTCATGTATAGGTCTCTCATTGCTGTAAACTGTTCCTGTAATTAAAAAAATAGATACAGATGTTGAATTCAATTTGCACTTTACTTGCACAAACTGTTATATACTTCAGGTCACAAACAGATCACAAGTACAATGCATTTGTCATCCCCCTTCCATCCGTCCGTCCTCCCCGTCTCCCCCCCGCCCTTTAAACAGACCAATATTTTACTGTTTGACTATAAGCACTATAGTAAACTGAACTGCTTTTAAAGAAATCTGAAGTTTGGAACATTATCTGGGGTGGCTGAGCAACATCTAGATATTGCCAAGGGCTATACCCTGGGAAAAAGTCACAGAAACTAGAGTAATTTCATAAAAGCAAAGAGGTACAGTAGAAGGTAAAGCATAATCCATAGATTACAGAAGTTGCATTCCTCCCAAATCTCTCCTTACATACAAACTTCTTCCTCATCTCCTGATCATTCTTTGAAACTCATTGAAAAGTAAATGCATCCCTTTTCAGCCTCCATTTTGTAGTCTAGGCACTTTCCTATGGTAAATTCTACTTTAATTTTCAAGGAGATTGACTAGAGGATAGAAACACCCAATAGACTTGTCACATTTTCTATGCTTTGGTGACAACTACGATATTGTGTATGAGGACTCACTGGTGTGCTGCACGGCAGCATTAGGACTTCTCCCTGTTTGAAAACTCTCACCAGCAGTGTGACTGTGGAATAGCACTTGCCTTTCACGCACTGGTGACTCTGCTATCTTGTGCCTGATCAATCACCCACCAAATCCCTTGCCGTATGTCAGATGAAAAGTGCCAGTTATTTCAAGAGAACAGCCACTCCATCTTTCTGTAGTTTTACATGGCCTTATTCTAATATGGAGTTTAAATAAGTTATTAGTGGACCAGATTACTATTACAGTTCAGAGAACATGTTACACTCCAAGGGTCTTGAGCTTCTGCTCACTGGAATCAATGAAGGAAATTACTGGTTTCAATAATTTTGGACCTAGCCAGAGAAAAACCTGACTAGCATGCAAAGGGTCAGCATAAACCCTATGCACTTTGAGTTCCTATAAGCTGACTAAAGTGATACTATTTTTATCCCAATGTCATAGTACATCTCACACACAAAAGAAAAAGGAGATGAGAAGAAAGCACATATTCTCTACAGCAATGGTTACTCAGGTTTGATTTCTATCGGGCCTAAATTTTCCTCTGGGCAACATAAACTTACAACAGCAGCACAATCGTTTAAAATGCTCAGTCTCAAGTTTCCCCTATTACAGAGCATGAGCTCACAGAAAACTTGCAATTAAGTTTCTGCTGCAATACTCAAGTTTTGTTTAAATACTAGTATGTGAAAGAACATCCTTTAATCCAATGCACTGACCACAGTTACTCTCAGAGAATGAGAAAGAGAACATGTCATCATTTACACCCCTGCAGCTTTTGATGTTTTAACACTGTACATCAGTATTTAGGAAAGTTGGTTTTACATACCGTTCCTGCAGTATCTAAGATTTCAAGCATACACTGTTGTGCATCTACTTCAACTTGCTGTCAAGAGAGAAAGATGTGGTTAAAAATTTACCTCTCACAACTCTCCCCTCCAAAGATACCAGGAATTGTGTCATTTTTATAAGCAAATTCATAATGCATAAAGCAACATAATGGCTTAAGAAGTTCATATGGCCATACACTTTGAAAACAGCAGGAAGAAGCCTTTCAAAGAGCCCTAGTGACATTTTCAAAAGCAGCGTCAGCAGCCAAGTACCACTTTGCAAAATGATTAGGGGTTTTTGATTATTAAAAAGGAGGCTTCTAAATTTGTAATGATGGTTATCAGCAACTAGCACAACTAATTTCTTCTTGTTTCAGGGATCATGCACAGTTTGAAAGAAAAGTACAGGTAAGAGCTAGAAAATTGCATTGGCTCATTTAACAGTAATTTAGATCAACAAGAGAATAAGCAGTACACAGCAAACAATAAACCAAGCAAACCACTAAGAGCACTGTCCCCAAATCAAGCCTTTAGTGACATTAATTAGGAAACTGATCCAGGTTAGAAAGATTTACAAAAAATAGAAGGTTTAAGAAGTCAGATCAGTTTCTGTATCTACTTCAGAGCTCTTCTATCTAGTTTCTACCTCAAAAAAAATGGCTGCAAGGGCAGCAAAGGAGATGGAAGTGCCCTCAAGCTGTGTCAAGCAGGCTACCCACATTTATTTTTTTTCTTTCAAGCTACTGGTACACTTCCCTCATTTCCATCTGCATGTAAAATTCCTCCTTGGCAAATCAGCACTCAAAGAACTTTGTGTCTATTCCTGATACATGTATTATCACTAGTTTAACTGAACTTTTCTTTTGTAACCAGATTTGAGCTTGGGGGGTGGGGTAGAAGAGTATTTCCACTCCTCTCACACCTCCCTCATGTCCCCTAGGGATGGAGATTCCTTCAATAACCACTATTCTAGCACGTATTGCTGACAAAGTTACTCAGCTAATTAAGCAGCATTTATTCTCTTTATGAAGAAATATTTGGGGAGTAAACCAAGGTATCAAGTTTCAAGACTTCATGCTCAATTATTCAGTTCCAGACAAACTTAAAATATTTCAAGCCATATCCTCTCAACTTCAAATATTACAAAATTAGATTTAACATTAATAGTATAGAATTGCAACTGTCAAACCAATACATTTTAAAGTCACCCAAGTGAAAAAGCAAGTTAGAATTGTAACTAACAGCAAGGGGAAGAAAATGACTGTGTAAAGTGCTGTCCAGACCAACAATCTGGCTGATTTGAAAAGAAGAATTCACAGAGATATTCCTAGTTATTTCAGGACCAAGCCTGAAAGGAACATTATAAGATCTTTGCTAAAAAAATAAAATAAAAAAAAAATAGCAAAAGGCAAAATTTCTTAAGATGACTTTACTTTTTAGGCTCCATGGAAACAGTGTTTGGAAAAATTCACCCAGCAAACATCATGAATCTAGTATGACCTGAAGAATGTAAATATACAACAAAGGAAACATTTCACTTTAGTACAGCCTGTGAATATTTTCGGAGTCATTTATTGGCCCTGACCCAGCAAAGTCCTGCACCAAGCATTGGGATAGGGTCCAAAATTCCTGCTACTCTAAGACAGAAAAAGTAAGTGGCTACATAGAATTTCTTGTTGCTGTTGTGTCTTTGGTAAGAGTTTATCTTTGGCTGGAAGCCCACATGCTTAAAACAGACTAGGATTTTTCTAGCAATTCTATGAAGTCAAAGAAAACAAGTGTGAAATTCTCATTTTCCTTTCACTAATTCCTCCTCTGTTCACAAGACATTCTGGTGACTATAGGCTGCAATGGCTGTTAATGCAGCCTCTTTATTCCAATATAAATATAGTCCAGTGCTAAAAGAAGAGGCACTGCAGTTTTTGCCCATTCCCAGATAGGGTTTGTACATCTTGCCTCCCTTGTATAGACACTGGCATTTTTGTGGCCACATGGTGAGCTATATCAGAGTATGAACGCATCTGAAAAATAATTCAGCTGAAAAAAAGTATTAAGAAACCAATACAGCTGAAAATTAATCTGCTTCACCAAATGGTTAACTCTTTTGGTAGCAGTCCAGATGTAAACTATCTTAGCCTGGAATGTTAATCACAGTCTCAGCTGAAACTGAAGAGTGAGCAATATGGAGATTCAAGATGATGCAAGCAGAGTCAGACCTTTCAGCCTGTCATGCTGAAGATGGGAAGAGAGAAACTAACAGGCCACTGTGTTTGTTCATTTATGATAGCTTTGTGTTAACTTATTAATAAAACAACAACCCATCTAATGGAAGCGTATCAAGCTATCAGTTAAACTGTTAGGAATACAGTATGATGCCTCCAGTGTTCTAAAGGCGAGCATAAAGTTGGTTTTAGTAGATTTTCCCAGTAACAAAGAATCTTAGAACCTCCAACTTACAAGTCCAAATCTGCCTGCAGATACTAAGAGACACAAACTAATAATAAATAATATAAAAAAGTGGTAGTGTGGGTTGTTTTTTTTGTTTTGTTTTTAAACCAATGTTCCCAGTTCTGACAACAAAATTACCATTTTTTACTGACTAGCTAGTGAGGTATTATGCTTAAACATTAAAAAGATATTCTTGAATTATTCCTTTTAGACAGACTTTAAGAGCACTTTTACATTTCAAACTTGTTAAGTTACCTAGTATTATGTGCCATTACCAGGTATACCCTTTTTCAAGCAATGACTCAAATATTTGACAATATGTACTGCAGTTTTAAGTTTCTGTAACACTAGAGAGGTCTTTTGCACATACCTTTCTGTAGGAGTCTTCTATCGTAGGATCGTATTTTTCAACAAATATTCCTTGAACAAACTGTACAGTCTGCAACACAAAAGTTCTCATGAGATTCTTCTTGTATAGTGATATTTTGTAAACATTGTACACAAATTACAGTTCTAGTTGTACACTCAGTTTCCATTACATTTTTGAAGGCAAATTGACTGACGTAACTATAAATTACAAGAAACAACAAGAAGTTAGATGTATATGACTACTTAACTAAGTAATGTTAGATGAAGCAATGCTACACCTCCCTTTATCCTTGGAGTGTAAGAATTAAAGCATGCATTTATTTAAGGTTTGTCTAACTCTTTGAATCATTATTAGTTTTTAGTTGAATAGGATACTATACAGCTGCATGGCTTTTACATTTGCATTTAGAACTACTGCATCTTCTGCTACTTATCTGCCAGCATAGGAATTAGTCAAAAAATGACTGCCAGCATTTACTAGTCTTAACTAAACTCAGTAGGATATTCCTGTATACCTAGCACGTAGACGATTTTAGCACAAGTCAAATGGAACTTTGAGACTCAATGGCCAAGTCAGAGCAGACAGGTTCAAATCCAGAAATGCTGCAGTAAGATAAAGAATTCAGAGGTGAAGGAAAAAGTTCTTTCACAATCTAACATGATTCGTCATTTAAGTTTTCCCTTGGGAACCACTTTGTAAGAAAGTAGTTCTTACCTGATAGAGTGGACTTCTAGACCTTACTTTATAAGGTGCACAATTAAACTGAAAGATGTAAAGTTCTTAGGTGGGATGAGAACATCACATTCTGGGAACTTTTTCAGCGCTAGTCTAATTCAGACTAAACTTTTCTGTAATCGTTAACTAAAATGCATTAAGTTCTTTGGTTTACAATCATCTACCTGCCACAGCTACACACCTACTTGCAAGGAAAGATGTAGAAAACTTGTTAAACTTCCTACAAACATGCAAATATATATTTGTATTTGCATAAAACAAACATTAGTGCTTTAGAGACTGCTATCAAACATTAAGCAAACAGCACCCTGCAGACCTTTCTAGAGACAGGAGTTACCAAGGCCAGACACAGGTAAACCAGTTCACTGTGCAAGTTTCATGAAGCAGCTTGATTTCCCACAGATCTATGGCTGGGTTACCCTGTGAAGCCAGACACCTTCATAATGCTGTGACTATGCACTTTGCTGTGTAAGACAGACAAAGATCTGACCAAGCACCATCAACCAAGCCCATACAAAAATATTAGCATGCAAAAGTGCACCAATGGATGTGGATACACCCAGGAAAGGATGTACTTATTCTAGCCAGTCATTAAGTAGATTTATGTCTACTTATTCACACTTATATAAAAGAAATATGGGTTAGTAGAGAGTGTATTAGAGACAAAGACATGAGAAGCCTAAGGAAACATACTTGAACTGCCTCACAGAATACTTACCAGAGCAGACTTTCCAACACCTCCAGAACCAAGAACCACTAGCTTGTATTCACGCATGATGCAAGAGATAAATCACCCTCAACACCTAAAACACACAATAAGTTATTCACCACTTTGATTGACAGGACAACTATTTTAGCATTACTACAACCACTGTAAGATTTCATATATAACAAGACATGAAGAATTAAATATTGCTATCAACTGATAAATGCAGGAGATATACCATTACAACCAGGCATACCCGAAGCAGGATGTTACTTTAATCATTACATGATATGGAAGCTATGGGCATTTATTCAAGACACAGTAACTGCCGAACGACGTTACTTTTACACTTAGCACAAATAAAGTACCTCCAAGGTTTTCTTGTTATCAGGATTTTAACATTTAAGGAACCATTATTCACATGTTATCTAGCCTAATTTCATAGTCAAGATAGTACAGACTTGTAAAGTTTTTAAAACAGAGATGTTTATATCCCATGAAAGAGTAATTTAGAGAAAAGGCAGAATATATTAAGACTCTCTGTAATAAAGACCTCAGTGTCATCATCTTGCCAAAGTATCACACGTGTTTCAAAGAAAACGCACATTATCTGGAAGAACTGCTCACACCCATGTGCACGTATCACTCACTCAGTGGCCTCTGGATGGATTCATCTCCTTTATTTACAGCAAGGAGGAATCGGGCATAGAAACTAATTTACCCCAATTGATAGACCAATTACTTGGATTACAGCATACCACCCACTGAGGTGTCTTCATCTCATAACATTTTCCAGAAACCTAAAAAAATCTCTTCTAGTCATGCAAACAAGTCTGTAGCACCTCTCAGCTATAGTCACAAGCTTTAAAGGTATTTCACAGGTTTCTCAAGATCTTTCATTCACTCATAAGAAGTTGCTTGCACTGTATATTTTGCAACAGACCAAACCCACTATTTACAGGAGACACACAGATGCCTAAAAAGCTTGCAGTTTTACAACCACTACATTCACAATATTGAATAGGTTTATTGGAGAAACAGCTGCTAACATTTGTTACCTATGGTAGCAATACAGCAATTCTAAAAACGTCTCAGATTTCACAGCTACTACATCCTCTCCTCATCCATCCCCCAAACTTATTTCATATATATACACATACACATGTAAATTATTTTGTTCATATTAGCTGACATGCATAAAATGTCTCCAGTCTCCTCTGAAGAACTGAAAGCATCATCATGCTGACAAAAAACAGAATGGGAACCTTTTTTAGGTTATTTTTAGCATCTCTTTATTTGTATTGTGATTTACTTGAAATAACATCCAACGTTTTTATCTACAGACCAAAAGTTTGATCTAGATGCAGAAAGTACAACCACAACGCTACAGTCCAGTTCACTCAGTTGGGTTTGACAAAGGGGCTTAGTTAACTTTTTTTAATACAGTGACCATTTTCAAACTATCAAGTCTTAATGCAGCTACAATAAAATTCTGCAAACCAGACACAGTATTTCTTCTACCTCATTATTGTTCTCCTATAAAGAAATATTGAATAAACTCTACTATAGTAAAGCTAAGTTACTATTGATAAGAAACAATTATCCAAGAGGAGATAGCATGAATTTTCTCAAACACTTAAGTGCTAAACAAAGAATCAGAGAGACTTGTATGACAAAATTAAACCAACATCCTCCCAGAAAGCAAACATTTCTCAAAAAGAACAGCAGGATCCCAGAAGTCAATTTTCAGAAAAATCCTTTCTTAGGTCTGAAAGTTGACTAATGTTTTGCTAGATACCTCCTCACAGTTATAATGACTGTAGTTCCATGAATAACTGGAGACAACCAAAATATTATTCTGAGACCATTCCTCTCCTACAAGCTAGATCTGCCCCTGTTCCACACTGGCTAGCGTGGCTGCCTACAGGAGTCTGCCAGATCTGCTTGCTCATCTTTGTTGAAAACTGACCCAGCAGAAACAAAACAAGGCCACAGATTTTGGGTCATTCTGCTCAAGAAAACACACCTCTTACAGTCCTGCTAGTAACTGGGCTGCAGGGACAGTAACTGCAGGGGTTCTAGCACTTATTGGATCGAGTTACCTGTTTTCTCCCCTCTCTGCCCCTGCAGAAAGATGAAACCCTCCCCAGCTGATGAATAATTTGGGGGTTGGAGGAGAAGGGAAGTGCAGGGAAGCCAACACAGGTGCTTGTACAAAACAAGCAGCAAAGTAAGGTAAGAAAGACCCTCCTCATCAGCAGTAATGCACAGTATCTCTGGAGTCACACCATCTGTTAGGTGTTTAGCACAAAATGTTAAGATGATTTACACAGAACTCAGAGCACCTCCATGTTAGTGCCCATCTTTTCCATCACCGATTAACTCCATATTGTCAGAGGACTGAAAAATCAAGAGGCCAGGCCCTATTTAATTTTCTTATTTCAAACACATAACGAGCAATCTTTCAACTTATCTAAATCATTCCCTGCACCTCAAGCAAGCAAAAGGAACACAAGGAGAAAGCCATAAGGAAATAATTGACCAGATGTCCAGCAAAGCAGATCTCTTCACAGGCTTCTGTTTCAAATAAATGTTGAGACTTTAGTGATTTTCACACCTAATAGTATTAAAGTCAGGAGTGAAAAGATGGTCTATGTTTTTCTCCCTCCATGGATTTTTTCCAAACATGGACCACCAGAACCATTCACACCACAAGTTTAATCTGTCTAGCACCACTGTACATGTTCATTTACATCTAGAACCTGTAAATTGTCCAGCATTTCAACAAACAATAGGAATAAAGAAAGGGTTGTCTCTAACTGTACTTAAATGTACCTTTCAAACTCATGACAAGTTAAGCCTTTAACTACACCACCCGTAATTTCTTTAAAACAAAGATTCAGATATGCCTTTATTCTTGGAAAGGTGTGAGTAGAATGACATAAATGTAGTGGGTGTAAGGGAAATCCCAGTACAGTAATCTGGGTGAACTGCAGCAATTTCACTGTCTTGAAATGAACAGTTTAAGCTGAGTTTTTCAGTCATCAGTCTGAAGTTAGTAACTAAATACAGAGATGTCAATAATGAAGGCTGACAGTAATTCAGAAGTAACAGAATTTAAGCAGCAGGTACCAAATACCTGTTTACCTAGTGTTTTGAGTAATCTGTGACTTTCTTACTGAATGATCTACAGTTCCTTAAAGAAAATTCAAAATCCTGAAATAAGAAGCTAACATATTGGATTTAGTGAGAGACTGGCAATTCCATTTTGGCTCTGAAATAGGGATTCAGGAATTTAACAGAAGCCAAAGCTTCTTTCAGCATACAAATTTGAATTTCTGCCCTAAATATCCAATTGCTGTAAAACACTCTGGAGCCGATTTCACTCCTTTAAGTGGTAGTACCTAATTAAAGCATATATATATATACACGCTATTACATCTTGGTTAGCCAATCTTCTTAATCTCTGAAGCACCTAAGCAAAAAGCTTTTTTAAGACTTTTCAAGATGTGACAAAGGCAGACTGAAGTACACTCAAACATTTCTCTGACCTTCCCTCCAAACTTAGGCAATGAACAATGTATGTACTATCTTCCTCTTCCTCCATTACAACTTTTTTGTCATTTGTACAGTTATTCCTTAACTCACCAAGAGCACACAGTAGTCCTTAATATATACATACACCTATACAGCATAGAGTTAGCTTGGCATCTCTGTGCCAGTCTACCATCAGGTAGTCTGGCCGTGACATGTTGGAATGAAACACAAACCAACATATGCAGCATAAGCACCATCTATCATCTGCTCCCACTTAGATCTACTACCCCACTGGCTTTGAGCAGCAGTCCTGATGTCACTTCACCTTCCTTTTGCACTTTAAGTCATAAGGCACCCTATCTTTCAGTTACCTGAAAGTATTTGAAACAACAGAAGCCATTAAGCTCCAAGCAAGATATTAACATAAAAAGTTCAACTGCTGAGAGATGCAAACTATAAAACCTGAGATGGAAGCTCAAACTTCTGGTGGATTTCCTTTTCTGCCTGAGAAAAAAAGAACACTTCTCTACCCATTCTAAAACAGATATCAGATCTAGTTCATGCAGTATCTCCTTATAAGGTCTGTGCCTTGTATTTCACATATTGTCATCCCCTCTCCCCTTAAAGAAGCTACTGCAAGAACTTTGGAAGAATATGTAATTATGAAACCATTTGTACAGTCAAGACAGAGCTCAATGTAGCACCTTAAGAATAATTTTCAGCAGTCTGCACTAACCAGTCATTTCAATGATACCCTTCAGTTCTAAAACTGTCAGAAAGACATCGTATTAACTGGAAAGGAGGAAAAAGGATAATTAGATCACACAATCTCAGTTATTCAAATAAGGGTACAGTTAGGTTTATGTGTTTCCCTGTTTACAATTTAGCATGTTAAAGCTACAGCTGTATCACAGCATGGCCAGCATTTCCAGGACAGAATAGGGTTAAGTGCAACAATAATATTTGTCTGTACTCCTAAGCTCTGGGCTGTAAAATGGATACAGTCAAGGGGCACAACAGAAACGGAGAGACTATGATAACTGAGTAACAGATAAGCAAACCCGCTTCCCCAGATTTATTGGACAGTTGATGAAAAGTATCTACCCAACAATAAGATACAAAGAAGTTTAGGCTTATTCCTACCAAATAATCCAAGTAACCTGTCTGAATCCCTCTTCATTTAGTGGAGTCTATTTTAGGAGAAAAATTTTCCTTTGAAGGCTTTTAAGGCGACAGACCTGCAGGAAGAGAGCAATGACAACTTCCTTTGCTTTTTCATTTTTTGCTCCTCTGTCTTTAGGCAGGAAAATACTGTCAACTGTGGTCTCTATGCAGACACTAAAGAAGACAGGAAGCATGCAAAAAGTAAGGCCTTTTTTTTCCTCTTAATTGGAGCAGGTGCTGGCTTTGAACAGCTGAGTCAAGTATTTATATGCACAAATGTGTGACATAACAGTGAACTCTGAATATGTCTAAAGCAAGATTTAGCTAGAAAAATGAGGGTACCTACTCTTCTTCAAGAAATCACATTTTTCACATAAGCTGGATTCTAATGCTGTC